TATTAGATAGCTTGGTCTTGTATTAAGCATTATACATTTAATAAAATTTTAGTACGCGGTTATCAAAGGAAAAAATATATATATATATATATTATTTAATAAGTTTAGGCAAATTTAAATTCAAGTAAATAATAAGCTATATAGATATAATAGCAATTAATATTATTATATAAATGTTTTATATAAATGCATATATATATTATAAAACTAATATAAAACTTAATTAAATAACTTATCAAATTTAATATTAGTATCCTCTATATCTACCCAAATATTAATATGTTCTTCTATAAATAGTTTATTTATAACTTGTTTAGGTAAATAATTTTTGGCATCAATATCTAAAGATGATTTGATAATAAATCATTTTCCATCTGTGGGCCTTTAGGAAATACATAAATAAGTAGACTTTGAAAAGTTATATCTTGAGTAATATGAATATTAGATCTGAATAAAGACTTCTTTTTGGTATGAATAGTTACAGAATTGTGTATCTGAATAGAGACTTCTTTTTGGTATGAACAATTACAGAATTGAATATCTGTGTAGTTGCTGTTAAAATAAAATTTGTAAGTAAAAGAATTAGCTATAAAATTAAAAATTAAATATAGTATAATATAATACCTTTATTTAATATAGCATTATTATTATTTAAAGGTTGCTTTGGTATTGGATATCAATATTTAGTAAAACACGCAAAGCTATATAAGGAAACTATACAAGATAGCTTCTGAAAAACATGCAAAATCATCTACCAAAAATGCCCACTCTGAAAAAATATACAAGACTACATTTTACAAGATGCCAGAAAAATGTATAAGTTCACTTCAGAAAAACACATGACTATTCTACAAAAGATATACAAGACCTATCACAGAAGAAATGTCTTAAAAGAAAATCTAATGGCAACATCAATGGCAACACCTGTAATACTAATGATAACACCTGCAATGATACAAACAACAATACAAATAATGGCAACAAAACTGAAAAGTGACAAGCTAAATAAAAAAAAAAAATTATTAGACAAAAGAAAAAAATTAAACCAAAAAAAATAAATAATTATATTTGATAATCATTATTTATATATATGTAGATGCATAGAAAACATATTTAGATAAAAATCAATGAAGAAAAATAACACTAGAATGAAATAAAATACATATTTTTGGATTTTTTTCTTTCAAAAATATAATTCTGTGGTAATATAAGTGTAAGCTAGTTGGTGATTTTGATAAAAAAAATGTAAACAAAAATAAACATCTGATTTTCACTTATAATGTTATAGTAGCATAATGGAAGTTTGTTTTAATTGGTCAACATTTTGCATGATCTACCTGCAATTACCCATGATAATTAACCAATCAAATTACATAATTTTTAAAAATTCATCACTTTTAATACTATTAGAAACTAAAGAAAAACTTCATATAAAAACCTTACAAATTAAAAATATTTATCACATATATTTTAGAAAATAGATAGATGTGTGTAAAGTATACAAATATATTATTTATTATGAACTTAACAAAAAATTTATACTTATAGTAAGGCCATGCAAAATTAATTAATTGGTTTTTTTTCCTGGCTGAGTCAAAATTTGAAATTTCAAAAAAAATATTTTTATATGTTTTAATAGCCGGGTGGATTTAAAAAAAAAAATTTTATAAATTTTATAAAATTTTATATATGAAATTTAAAAAAAAAAGCCAGCTGGCCAGGTCTATTTAAAAGTTTCATGTTATGAAAACCAAGTAATTAAATTTGTATAGCCTAATATAAAAACTATAATGTTAAATTTATGGCTAACAAAATCCAACACACTACAAAAAACCAACCAAACATTAAACCCATTCAATCCAGGTCTCTTGCCTGATGAGCTTGTATTTATTCAAAGTATACTGTTAGTAATAAAAGTTTATTTGAATCTAACAACGAAATAGCTTAAGCAAGAAAACCTTTCTAGTTATCTCGCTTATAGTATAGCTTATGTGGTCCATATATTTTGTTTTGTCTCTTAGTTTCGAGATTATTTTTGTATAGCAATGTCGAATAAAGTTCTAGTAAAAAAATTTTTTTCATAATTAGTTGTATAATCGTGAGAGTTACTAAGTTTTCAGTTTAAATTAACTAAAATAACTAGTATTTTTCTTTGTTTTTACGTAATAAGTGAACTACCTTTTCCTATCTGATTATAGCGATCTAAAAGTCTTAAACGACACTTTAGAACTTGAAGAATATACTTGTAAAAAAACACCTGGTCATACGAACAACCAGGGGTTGTAATATTACCCTAAAAAAAAATTTTATACGATTTCATAAATTATTATAAGGTATGATCTACCAACCAATCATAATTGATCTGATGATCAGGATTAACAACGAATTTCCATCATGCTACAGCAAACTTAATTGTTTAGATCTTTAATGAAGAAACATTAGAATAATAAATTCATTCTTTATATTCATTTTATAACACAGTATTGTTTTTTTTTAAAAAAAAAAAAATTTTAACTTTAATGTGTAACGGTGACATGTATTTTAAAAAATATATTTATTATACAGTATAACGGTAATAAAAAACTTATAAACTGTGACAAGTTTTGGCGTATAAAATTGAGTTATAGCAAATATAAAGGTTATAATATAAACAACCATATCAGCATATATGCAAGTTAACTCAGTTATGATGCGGCTTATCCCAATGCTTTAAGTTCGACTAGTCCAGATGAAGCAAAGCCGGGAATTACGTATATAAAAAATCTGTTAGTAAGATTGTTATAAAAAAAAAACCGTAAGCCAAGCGCTATATAAAAAGAATTTTAAAAATCTAAGTCTAATACGGCTAAGCATATAATTTCACTATTTGCACTAGGCGACGAAAATCGTAATGTAGTATGCATGTATAAGTATATACTTGCTGTTCAGTAAATTGATTTTCGACAGAAAGTCATGGCAACATACCAAAAAAATGGCTTGAAAAAGCTGTTTCCGATGGGCATATTAATTATCTCTAATTTAATAAATTTACAAATTCTTAACACTGGAGATTTTGGAAAAGCTTCTAAATACGAATGGAGACTGTGAATTAATGATTGTTCTTAAATCCCTTAAAGTCGTACAAGTATGAAAAAAAAGTTCTAATAAGGTATTATTTATTATATTAAACTTTTTACTGCTCTTTTCGATTTAGTTGGATCGACGATCTGCATAATTTTTTTGAGTCCCGTGAGTCCTAAGATTGCAATAAGAGTAATGCCTCAACTTCGTCATATTTTGCAGGACTCATTTTAGAATTCTTATATTTCCCTTTTATTAATAAATAAATTAAAAAAAATTACGACGAACATCCATCTTTATTCAGATCGTCGATCCAACTAAATTGAAAAGAGCGATAATTACATCCTACTACAGAATAATAACTGATAAGTTATTTATTAAAATCATATAATTGGCTTAAAATATAACAAATAGTTTATTCCATCGTCATGGTGAAATACAGTGTACGGCTTTTCCCATTAAAATCAACTCGCTTAGCTATTATAATCGTTCAAGTACTCCACAAGCTACATTATAGCTACGACAACGATGACCATTATCAGGAACATTTTATATAAAAGTCAAAAATTACAAGACTATCTCTGGATATATTATTATCCGAGTCACACTATCATGCAAATCCCAATCACAGGAGGAAACGTCGATGTTACACGACTGAACCTTCACCCGGTGTGCAACATATAAAAAATTATTTTACAATACCAGATCATTCTGCTAGTACATTTTATGATTATAATCTCGCACCATTTTATTATAATAAAAAATGATGCGGATAATAATCATAAAATGTACTAGCGGAATTGTAAAATTTTTTGCACACCGGGTGAAGGATCGACGTTTCCTCCTGTTCGCTACTTATGTATAATCCCGGGGTCACAAATTAACCCATGACCATCCAAACGTATCATTTACTTTCTATGGGGTCACGAAAGATAAACAAACAATTCATAATGTTTAAGGTATTAAACAATAATCATGTTAAACAAAAAAAATATATTTATTAAATTGGAATACAGATAGCAATAGATATTATAATATAGTGCTATAATATGCTAACGGAACTTTACAACTAAAAGCAAATTTTACAAGATTACAATGGACGTGCTTTACTAATATAAGGCGTTAGTTGATAATATCGATAATATTTCTGGATTTTGTTTACGATTCTTCTAATATATCATTCCAAAAATCTTTTTCTAGGCTGATTCTACATTATTATTGCGCTTTGCAAAAATGTGTGACCTCTGCAGATCATGATGTTATGTAAAATCACGAGAAATCAGCCGATTCTAGTGGATTTTTCGATTTTTGAAGAATTTTAAGGATTATAGACGTTATTGATTGAAAATTATGATCAATAGGGAATTAAAATAGAAATTTTTCCGCCATCATCACCGTGAAATCACAGGGTCACACTTTTTTGCAAAGCGCAATAATAATAAATAAGTATATGAGATAAACAATCTTGCGATTTATTTTAAAAGTTAGAAATTTTCACTAGCATAATAATTTTTAGAATCAGAATTTCTCGAAGTGATGTGATTTGTCATTAGGATCAAAAATCTTACTTGAAAATTTTATTAAAAATTCATTATACAGTACTATATTTATAAATTTTGAAATTAATGCTTTGAAAGCTTTTTGATAAATAAATACATGTAAAATGTAAACGAATCCAATTAGCTTTTGTCTTGATGAAATGAATTTTCATAAATGCTTGACAAGTTCTTTTAGAAGAAATTATAAAGTAATAATCATAAATTAAAGACTGAATGAATGATACATCTTGGCTTTCCAATAAAGACGCTTCTCTGTAAATATTCATTATTAGATTTCTTTGTACCAATACGCACTTTAAATCGTTGAATAGTAATATTTTAAATTATTAAATCTACCAATATTTTATTACAATCAACGTTTCGAAATTGATTTTTGAGATGCTGTTAATGAGGTTCTTTAAGATGAGGTTCATGTTAAATTGGCTTGTGGTAAAAAAAATGAGATTTAATATTATATAGTGTTTATGCAAAAAATATGAGAAAAAGATTATAGGGACAAATTGAGACGTTATGCAATTTAAGTTGATATTAGGAATTTCTATGTTCATATGGCAATAAGAATCGATCAAGATTGGTCTTGTAATAATATATATATATATATTTACTAAAATTTAACCACTTAGCAATAACAAATTATTTAATAAAAAACGATTCATAGGTCAGAGCTTATTTTTAATCAATGGGAAATAGTTTAGCCGGTCATGTGAGTTATATCGTGACGAAGCAGAACTTAAATGTGTGACATAGAGATGCGAACCGTTTGCCGATCCTTACAGTTTTCGGCCCAAATTAACCGTAATGCGGGCCAAAAACTGTTAGGATCGACAAACGGTTCGCATCTCTAGTGTGACAGGTTACGCTAATTGATCAACATCGGCCTATATTAAATAGTTTTAAATGTTATGGTTAGATTGAAAGAGCGTTAGAAAGAAGACTTAGGTAAATCTATACCAAAATTATGAGTAGAATCTTTTTTCTTAGAGCACCAAGAGCGGTTTCATAGACAAGATTTTGGAATAAAAAAAAATTTGTCGATCAACCTGTCACACATTCTAGATGTGCCGTGACAAAATAAAAGGACTTCTTGTTTTATCATAAAGTTGGCTGAACTGCTGAAATTTAATATCCGCATTTCGCAATGTGAATTTTCAAAAAGATTCTTATTAAATTAATATTAGTAGTGTGCACGACATCGATCATTAGCTAATCACATAAAGAGATGCTTGAGAGCATCCTTAATAAAATTCGTGAAATTATAGTTGTTGTAACAAATCATTACAACTATTAAAGTATCCATGGAGAATTTGTATGCATCAGAGACTCAGATTACCTACAGTAGTATCCAATTATCTGACGTGTTATTAAATATTTTGTTTTTGTAACACACAATTACACTAAATTATATTATCTAATTGGTTAAAAAATAATGCAGAATGTAATGTTCGTACGTACGTACGTACTACCATCATAAGATTAAGCTCAGGTAAATTACATAGCACAAGGTATATTAAAACTTTGTTAATTAGTGGTACGTACTTTATTTTAAATAACTCTTGCTAATAAATTAATATTATATATATATGGCAAGGATTCTTGTTCTTTAGTCTTTTTTTCACTCTTTTTCACTCTTTTATCATACTTTATATTATTTAATTCATTTAATTTATTTAATAATGGGTAACGATCTTTCAAAGACATTAAGAGATAAAAAATATAGAGTTATACGTAATGAAGACACCGACGTTAATAATGAGCATGAAATGACTGGCCGTAAATATACAGTAGCGAGCACCAATTTTCCAGTAGCTGATTATAATTTAGATAAGGAATATAGTCGCGTTAGTTGTAATCAACATTATTAAGCGATTTTTTTTTATATTTTTATTAGACTGCGTTACTTATTTGTGTCTGATTTCATTTACAAATATTAACAATTATTAGCATGAATACTTCTTAAAAGTCTGGGGCTCAAACTTTTCTTCTCCAATCGAACCTATTTTAAAACATGGTGATGCCAAAGTCCTTGATGTTGGGTAAGCTTTATATGTATCACTTTAGGGAACTAATGTTTCTACACATATTTTTGGTATTTCTACACCTTATGGTGCGATGTGTTATGTGCCAATGTGACAGTGATACCAAATAAGGTATAGCATACATGTGACTTAATATGTCGTGTGGAAGTACCAAGAGTACGTATGTATGGAAATGCAGTATCGGTTCCATATTTTGTTAATAATAATCTTACGCATCTTTTTTTTTTACGGATTCGGCGCATGGATTTGTGATATGGTATTTATTATAACAACATTAATTAATGTCGAACTCTATTAATTTCAATGAATATTATTTTTCTTTAACGCATTAATTGTTTAATTTTAAGGCAAAAAAATATCCTCTTTCATACTTTACTGGGATCGATATTATGGATCCAAAAGATATTGCTATTTCAAATGTCAGCTTTACACAAGGTGATGTCTTAGAAGGACTGCAATATCCAGATTGTTCATTTGATTATATTCATTTTGGAGAGCTGTTATGGTCTATTACATCAAAAGATGCATCTAATAAATTATTTCCAGGTAAAACAATTAAGTCATTTTCAATGGTTAATGTAGCAAATTATACTAAGATTAGCTGATACTGAAATTTAGGTTATCTTTTGGATTTAAAATTACTTAAATACTTTTGTTAGCTGCTATAACTCTAAACTCTAATACAACTCCTAAATATAAAAATAGATATCTTTTAAAATTTTCAGAATCAGCTATGACGATTTAAATGGCAAATAATTAATCAATATATATATTTTATACATTAGAATTGCTACGAATATTAAAACCTGGTGGATGGATTGAGAGTATGGAAACTGACATTAACTTCATAGATGTTGGTCCTAACACTAAATTCCTCTTTGACACATGTAATTTAATACTAATATCATCATTAATTATATTAATTATTATAGATTACAATAAATAATATTTTGTTCAATAGTGTTTAATCATATTCGAAATAATGGCATTTGTCCCGAAGAATTTTACAAAAGTACAACGAAATTATTTAAAGATAATAATCTTGAATACCAAGTCGAAGAAAGAATAATATATTTTGTTGATTCTGATTCAGTGGTAAACCTTTATTATTATTATTATTATTATTATTACAATCTCATATATATCTTTATAAAAATATATTAACAAAGTATACCTTTATAAATATTTTATAGGTGACACGGAAATTCATAACCTTTTTTAAAATTGCAAAATCCATGCTTCTAGAATATACAAGTATTAGTTATGAAAAATATGATGAAATACTTGATAAAGCTGCCGTTGAGCTGATAGAATATAAAACATCAGTTAGATCAATAAGACATTTTGGGAAAAAACTTTTGGCTTAACTTCTAAATTTTTTACTTATAAGTCTTTTATTTTCATGGTTCAACAAATTTAGCAAAAATAATGATTATCATACAATATTTAATATTTAGTTGACTTTTTATTAAATATATACTGAATAATAAACAACTATCTGTTAATCCTAATAGTTATCAGTTATGAAATTTGGTTGGTGATCCCAGATATATTTTTAATCATTTTGGCTACATTATAAATCACATTTTCGAAAATGCCATGTTACATGACAAGTTGCTTTGGATTAAATAAATTGATTAGTAAGTACATGAGATAGAAAATATAAGTAGTCGGTCAACGACGATGCCATCATAAAAATATCATCAGAAACTGTTTATGGATACACTAGGAACCGTGAAATATTTATGATATTAACGATAAAGCTATGAACTTGACGCACTCTGATGACTTCCCAGGCAGCCATCAAAAAAAAAAAAACACACATGAATCTTGTATAAACCTCTAACTTCTGTAGAAATATCGATTAGTGAATAATTTTCATCATGATATATTATATTTTCAACATTATTAAATCATATTTGATTATTGGTAAATGCTTACATCTTGTTGAAAAATAATAAAAAATGACTCACTTGATCGGCTAACCTATTTTAGGCTAATTAAAAATTGAGTTCTGACCTATGAATTTAGGTGCTTGAGAGCACCTTAAGTAAAATCTTGGCATAGCGTACATAGCGGACTCCTGATATAACTGAGACTAAGTAAAATTCCACCGTAATAAATTCTGCTTTATATAAGGATTTACTAATAAATTAACAACATTGCAAAAAACCTCTACACGTTTAATAAAACATAACATTATATGTAAATAAAGACATGTACATTATAAAAAAAAATCAATTCATATCTTTATTACTGTCAGAATAATGTTCACCGATCCTCAAATTTTGTAATCCACAATACTTGGAATTGAAGAAATAAACTTACGTCCACCACTAAACATGATTGCATATGAATTTTCGATATTTTCAAGATTTACTTTTGATTTTTTCAACTCTGATAAAATATTTTTGTCATTTTGCCATTTCATAAAAATTTCACAGAGTTTTTCAGTTGATGGTCTCTTTTCAGGTAGTGATCCGAATCGACTTAAATTTTTTAGTTGACTAGTCAGTCGACTAATTTTATGACTAGTTGATTAGTCGTATATTATATAAAGTAAATACAATTTATTAGTCACCAAATTAAAATATTAGTTAACTATTAGCCTATATTAGTGTTGGGCAAATTAGAGTTTTTCAAATTTCATGCGCATGGAATTTTGGCCCAAATTATTAAATTCTGGCCCGTATTATGGTAGATTGCTAATAATGCGGGCAGAATTATGAGGTTCCGAAATATTACGAAAAATGCACGGCAGATCTTCGATTTTGATTGGCTAAGAGCGACGATCAAAAAATTAGGCCGGAATTACTCATAATTTCACTAATGAAATCGCGGCTGCCTATTAAGTGAAAATGGTTCTTGGGTCAATTTTACAGTACCATAATGCGGGCTTATTTTTTTAAAAAAAAATCTATTTTGTAATAAAAAAAATTAAAAAGCTAATTCCGGCCGGAAATTAGTAAGCTGCTAATAAAAAAATTGTCTATAAAATGAACTTGTTTGCAAATCAATTGTCTGTGAAATAAACCTGTCTATTAGCAACTATTGGTTAATAAGATGTTTATGAAGTAAGATTGCCTACTAAGTAAAAACTGATTTTAATTCATACTTACTAATACTAATGCATATTAAATAAACTGTGCTTTTATCTACACACTAGCAAGTGATACCAATCAAATATTTTTTTACATTCGATATGCTCTATCTAATGGGATTCAATCAACTCACCGACAATCACTTTATAGACACCACATTTCACTACCAATTTTTTGCTTTGAAATTTTATTATTTTCATAATTACTTAATGACAAGTTCATTTTACCGACGGTTTATTTCACTGAAGCTCATTTAACAGACAAAGTAATTCTGGTTAATATTATTAGGGTTAGATTAGAATTAGAGTTAAAGTTAGTGTAGTTTATAAAAAAAAAAACTTGTCGGTAAAATTAGCTTCAGTGAAATAGATTGTTGGTATCTATGAAACGATTTTCAATAGACACGTACCCGATCACTGGTCACCTGGTGTGTTTTTATTGCACATATAAAAAACCCATTTTAATAAAACATAACATTAAATAAAAGACATGTCTCTATAAAAAAAATCATTATTACTTTCAGGAATTATGTCGTCAATTCTTAAGTTTGGTAACCCACTATCAATACTTGGAATTGATTCAGTAAAGGAAATAAATTGGCTTCCACTATTAAACATGCATGCATATGATTTTTCAATATTTTCAAGATTTACTTTTGATTTTTTCAATTCTAATAAAATATTTTTGTCATTTTGCCATTTCATCAAAGTTTCATTTAGTTTTTCTGCTGATGGTCGTTTTTTAGGTTCATTATCCCAACATTTTTTCATCACGTTTATATAACATTGAGGAGCTTCTTCGTTAATGGGTGGCCGTAAATAACTATAACATATTTTTAATTGAAGCTGTTGTTTACTAAATTTGTGATTATAAGACACAGACATCCCATATAAGATTTCCCACATTATTATTCCAAAAGAATAGATGTCTGATTTTGTAGTATATGGTTGACACTTTTGAATTTCTGGAGCAACATATGGTAGAATTCCACAAATACCATCTTTCTTTTGTCCAGAATCAGAACTTGATAGTCCCAGATCAGAAATATATGCGCTATGTAAATCGTCTTGTAAAATGTTTCCACTGTGC